GAGACATACACGAGTTTACAAAACCACGGCACATTTATTGTGGTAAATGCAGAGATAGGTGGTCGAGGGGAGAGGATCTTCTGCAGCCGCTTTGGAGAGAGACAGGGGCCGCCGTGTGACTCCGGGCAGCTGGGCTTAATAGCACCTCGGCTCCGGCCAGGTGTCCGTGATCGCGCTGATTAGCCTCTTCAGCTCCACCCCATCGTAAGACCTGCAACACACCTGCACAAAGGCCCTGGGGCCGTCACACTCTTCTATAACAACAGTTGTAGGTACAGTTCGGTTAGTTAGCGTATAAAATATACGGCTGTACCGACGCCATTATAAGACTGATGTTCCGAGAGCGAGCCGAAAAAAGCACTGTTAGACATGGGCGGAGCCTCTCTGGTGGTTGACTAATCAGAACAGAGTGGCCGAGCTGACCAATCGGAGCACACTAGGCTCACAGGGAGGGGGGGGCAAGAGCTCCAACGAGTCGTTTAGTGGAGAGAGTGAATACTGCTGAATACACATACTTTACAGAGATGCTGTATGCGAAACCAATGTGAGTTTGGAAAATTGCACAGTATAAATCTATTTTAGTATACCTCAACAATGTAATTATGATCAGTGGAAATGGCCATGACATGGGCCCTTTAAGAAAAAGGCATTGTAAACAGTCATTAAAAAGCAACACAATCTACCTGCAATCCAATTACTCTAAACGTGTAATAACGTGCTTTAACCAGTAGGTGGTTTGGCTTAAAAAGCTGTCAAGTTTACAGTGTTAACAAAATAAAATATACTGCTGTTTCTGGTTTAGTTTACGACGGATATATTTTGTTATTGTTTTATATTTGTAACACAAAAGCGATGGAAAAAACCCACAGCAACACAGAAAAGATGGTCTTAACATGACCCAGCGGTCTAGTAGTTAACCTGTTACGCACCGCCCCCCCCGGTACCGGGCGGATAAACGCGTCATTTGCAGGAAACAACGTCTAAGGAATCTTAATATTTAATAAACTATGAATGTTTTATATCCATGTAACGGGAAGAAACTCAGCTAACTGATCTTTTACAAAAAAAAAATCCAAAAAAACCCCACAATGCCAACACTCAGCCTCTGAATTAGCCATGAGGAAAAAATGTAACCTAAAACGGCACCTAAACTCACTCATAACTCCCTTATTACTTATCCTAGATACACAGCCAACCCATCGATTAGCATCTCCTGGAGACACAGAATCTGGGGGTGCCCACCTCAACACTCAGTGATAAACATTTGCGACGCTATAAACGAAAGCGTACATCAGAACATGTGGAGCTAGGTAGCTAGAAACGCTAACATGGCTTACCTTGGTCAAAACTGGTCTTCAATGGCATTAAAACGATAAAAAAACGATGCTGCAGTTAATCCATAGGTTAATCCAATGTGTCTGTGTCCTCTTTGAAATGATTTCTGATAATCCATAAGCAATAAAACTGCTTTTTCGTTTCCAAATGTCAGAGCTAGAGATAGGTCCACTCTGATGGAAAATTACATGCGTGAAGCCCCCACCTCTTCTCTTCACAACGTGTGTGTGTGGGGGACTCCCCCTTCGATTATATTGGCTCTAACGGTCAGAAAGAGGTGTCAACCATCAAAATTGAGCAAGGGGGGCCAGAGATATGGGGAAAAAAACATTTTCACCCAAATCACCTCAGAGGTGCAGTGGTTTTGGCTAAACCTCTCTAAAAAGGTCAAATGTCACTTGTTTTGCATCAATATTGATACAGCGTACTTATTATATGTTGTACTTTGGATTCCTCAAGCTTTTAGTCTACTAACCCATCATCCAAGGGTACTTTTCACTATAAGTAAAAAATAATTTTTGGACGGACACTATAATTTACAGTTTTTTACTATGTAAAATCTGAATTTTCTTTAAAATAAAAAACATCTATATTGATTCTGACACTTCTACATCCAACTCACAGATATAACCTTGCTTTGATAAAAGAAATTATTCATATAACCCTTTTAGAAGTTAAGTTGTAGTCATTTGTTTTGGGCATGTCATTTTTTCGAGCCTGAAACATGAAAAACAGGCTTGGTGCTTAACAGGTTAATAAAAAACAATAATATCAAAACAAAATATTACTACTAACTTTATTGTAAAATTAAAACAGAACGGTAAAAGAATAGTTTCCGGTCTATTCTGAGGACCGATCTCTGTAGATAAATAAAGAACTACGACAGATGTGTAATATTTAATGCAGCCGAACCATTTATTAGAATGCATTCATGTGATGACTTTCAAAGAGTAAAGCAAGCACTGCTGAATAAAGTATGATTTTATCTTTTACGAAACGTTTTTTTTTATATGGAATGCAGTTGGAGGTCAACCAATCACAGAGCTTGAGAACTAATCACGGGGTTTGTCAAACAGAGCACATGGTGTAGTCCTAAACGATAGCTGGGGATTCTGGGTAGTGTAGTGTCTTCTGCCATCCTAAACTCCGAAAAAATATTTGTTTCTCCGAATCGAAGGGGAAAAATACGAAAGCATTGCACACAATTTAAACCAATCAATGTTGTGTAATTAACAAGGATAATCTGGTGTTTTTTAGTTGATGAGTAGTGCAGATATCACTGTCAAATCAATCAACAGTAAGGGGAATACTTACTTCCGGGTGTACAATTCTCCATTATCCAATGGGAATGGACGCTCACATTGCCTTTAACAGCCGCCGACACAAACGAATGCCGTGCTTCCATGAGCGTGAAATCCCGCCGCAGATGGGAATACATTGCAATCAGTTGAAAGCTATTTGCGTCCCTTTATGAAGCTGAAGGAGCCTAGGAGCGTCCCAACTGCATGCCTCGGGACCCTGACCAAGCGTCGCTCCTGGACGTTTATGGAGTGAGAGTGTGTTGCCATAACAACTGAGGAAAGCTACACCAAAGCCACTAAAAATGGTAGGAAGAGAGGGATCCCTATATTACACACTGCTGTTTTGGCTCTACAATTAAATATACGGGAAAAGACACTGAGATTTAGGAACCTAAACAGATAAAGGTTTCAAATTACACACCGAGAATTGCTTTGCTTCAGACTAGATGCTTCAATAGAACCAAGAGTTTTTCACTGATGAAAAATGACAATCATTTTAATCATCAGGTAAAACTTGAAATTCTATATCCGTTAAAGACATTTTAGGGGATGTATGACCCACCTGTGACGGTCCTTCGATCTATCTGTTGTCTGAATACAGCCGAACCTTCATAGCTTCCCACTTTGACAAATCTAAATACAGCATGAAAAACGCAATGCAATCAGTTCCAACAATGGTACACTATAACCTAGTTACAGGTACTGAGCCTGTTTTTCAGGTCTCAGGCTTGAAAATGACATTCCCAGAACAAATGACCATATCTTCCCTTCTAAAAGGGTTAAATTAATAATCTTTTTTCTCAAAGTAATGATAAACCTGTGAGTTGGATGTAGAAAAGTCAGAATCAATATAGATGTTTTTTATTTTAAAGAAAATTCAGATTTTACATAGTAAAAAACTGTAAATTATAGTGTCCGTCCAAATATTCTTTTTTACTTATAGTGAAAACTACCCTTGGATGATGGTAAGGTAGATTAAAAGCTTTAGGAATCCAAAGTACAACATATAATAAGTACCCTGTATCAAGATTGATGCAAAGCAAGTGACATTTGACCATTTTAGAGAGATTTAGCAAAAAGAAACCACTTCTGGGGTCATTTGGGTGGATTTTCCATATCTCTGGCCCCCCTTGCTCGATCTTGATGGTTGACACCTCTTTCTGACCGTTAGAGCCAAGAGAATCGAAGGGGGAGTCCCCCACACACACTCATTGTGAAAAAAAAAGTGAGGGCTTCGCGCATGCAGTTTTGCATCAGAGCGAACCTATCTCTAGCTCTGACATCTGGAAACGGAAAAGCAGTTTTATTGCTTATGGATTATCAGAAATAATTTCAAAGGGACACAGACACATTGGATTAACCTATGGATTAACTTCAGCAGCGTTTTTATCGTTTTAATGCCATTGAAGACCACTTTGGAGAGACTACAGAACCAAGGTAAAAATGTTAGCATTTTTAGCTACCTAGCGTCACCTGTTTTGATGTCTGTTTTTGTTTATAACGTCGCAAATCCGTATAATTCAGTGAAAATGAGGGTACCCATCGATTCTGTGTCACCTCACGATGTGAATCGATGTCATGGATGTGGAGAAGAGATAAATAATAAGGTTTTGTGAGTGATTTTCGGTGCAGTAATCTGTTAGCATTTTTCGCTCGTTGCTAATTCAGAGGGTCAGTGTTAGCATTGTGGGTTTTCTTTTGGAAAAAAAATTAAAATGATCAGTTAGATGAGTTTCTTCCCGTTACATGGATATAAAACATTCATAGTTTATTAAATGAACATGCCCTCAGACACTGTTTCCTGCAAGATGTTGCGGCAGTGCCCCGGTACCGGGGTCTCTCGGGCTTAACAGGTTAAATAGCCAAAACAAATATAAATATAAATATACTCAATCTCAAGTTTTATTTCCAAGCCTAATTCAAAAAATTAAAAACATTGTTTTAAATTAAAACCCTATTGCTCTGTTCACTGGAATATTTTTAAATGTTTTTTGGTCACAATGGACACCATGGAATTAAATCAACAACTGTTTTTCTCTATAAGTGGAAAATGTCTTAATGAGAGACTATATCCATAATAATTGTCCTCTTAATATATTTATTTTTCATGATTCAGTCTATGTTAACTCCTTTTAGTAAATCAGGCGGAGCTGCTGATGTCCAATCCAGTCACACTCTGTCATCAATAAGATGTAACACATAGGTGACAAAGTGTTTATAACTTGCCTAATTTCTTGCTCTCTTTTTCTCTTTCTCTCTCTCTCTGTCTATTGGGATGTGTAATATGAATCGACTTGTGTTATTTTGCTTGCTTTACTCTCAATGTGTCCTAACTCTAATGTATACCCCAATATCCAGCAACCCCTCGCCACCATCTTCTGCCAAAGTATGCAAACTCCAAAACAGTTTTGAGCCAGGCTTTGTGGCCAAAGGTGACTATATAATTGGAGGGATCTTCCCCCTTCACTATAACCAGGAGATGCCAGACCTGAACTGCACCTACAGGCCACCACCAGTAAAATGCAATGGGTGAGTTTTGATTGATGTGGAAACCATAGTGAGAGTATATAACTTGTGTATGAAACATTGTGTGCAACTAACATTCTTGTTTTATTGAATGATTAAACAGAATATACTTGTATTGACTAGGTTTTAGTATTCATTGATAAGTTAGCGTGTTGGCTTGAATTAATTGCTTTTAAAAAATCTTTTTATCCAGAGAAAGACATGCAAAAACTGACTTTGACATAGTTTTGGGTAGGTAATTCCCTAATTATTTATAAAATGATTTAAAGAAGATTCATAGAAAGATATGTACTTTGATACTCTTTATATTAGAAAATGATAAGTTGCTCCATAATACAAAAATAAATGATTTTGAATGACTTAGAAGTGCAGCATTTGAACAATGTCTCTATTTTCCTCTAAATAAGTTCAAATTTACATTGGTCTTTCATAATAACAACATGCCAATTATAGGGAACTTATTAAAGACATATCCTGGGAACATATTATAAAAATAATGAGAACATGCAGACAAAGAAACAGATCAGTTATTTTATCACATCAACCAAGATGCAATGCTACAATTTAAAAGTATTTAAAATTAACATCATCTCTGCCTTTAATTGTACCTTTTCTACACACAATAAGTTTGAATGTGTATGTTGTGTGCATCTGTGATGTGTTTCTTGTGTGCACCTGTGTCTGTTTGGCTGCAGATTTGATCCCAGGGCTTTCCGCTGGGCTCAGACTATGAGGTTGGCAGTGGAGGAGATAAACCAGAGTGCAGAGCTATTACCCAATTACACACTTGGGTACAAAATCTTTGATTCATGTGGATATCCACTGACTGGCCAGAGGGCTGCTCTGGCTGTGTTAAATGGGCTGAGTGAGGATGACTCTCCCACGTGCAGCGGTGCCTCTCCACTCCTCGTTGTGATCGGGGAATCTGGTTCTGCTCAATCTATGGTGGTGTCAAGAATCCTGCAACCATTCAGAATCCCAATGGTAATGATTTTTTCTTTTATCTGTAATCCCCCAAACATTTAATTGCTTTACTATACTCAATTTTGTATCCTTCTTTAAACAGATCAGTTACTTTTCTTCGTGTGCATGTTTTACTGACAGAAAAAACCATCCCACCTTCTTCAGAGTAATCCCCAATGATGATTATCAGGTGAGAGTGTGGCCTTAATAGGTTGTTGATCATTCTTCAGTGAAAAAAAGAAATGTATATTATTCAAATGTAGTCTGTAAAATGTTCTTTATGTGTGTGTTTTGAGCCAAGTGTAACTATTTCCTGTTGAATGTAGGTGAAAGCCATTGCTCAGCTGCTGGTACGCTTCAACTTCACTTGGGTGGGGTTGGTGCGAGGAGACCATGAATACGGGCGCTTCGCTGTGCAAGGTTTACTGAGAGAATTACAGGGTACCAAAGTGTGTGTAGCGTACCAAGAAATTATACCTATGCTCTACAATCGTCAGAGGACTCTGGAGATCTTGCAGGTACATGCCAGGTTTTATAGAATTAGAGAGCTCTTATCACACAAAGATAACTTTATAGTAAATTCCCTACATCGGGAATGTTTACGTTATTTATTTCATAACAATAGACTAACAACCCAGCTAGAAATGTTTGGTTCTAAAAACATTCTGAGAATGTTACATTCATTGTTCTAGGAATGCTTTCAGCGGGAAGTTTTCTTTTGGTTCCCAGAATGTTCTTCTGAAAGGTAGGATAACGTTCTCTAAAAACATTCTTAAAATGTTTGGTGATAACCTTCCGAAAATGTTTTTGATAACATTGTTAGAACATTATGCCCTACTATTCTTAAAACGTTTTCAGCAGAAGCTTTTATTTTGGTTCCCAGAATGTTCTTCTGAAAGGTAGGATAACGTTCTCTAAAAACATTCTTAAAATGTTTTTGATAACATTGTTAGAACATTATGCCCTACTGTTCTTAAAATGTTTTCAGCTGCAAGTTAGATTTGTTTATGTTGCCAGAAGGTTATTATTTTAGAGAAGGATAACATGCTTTATGTTTAACACATTATGCAAATGTTCTGTGGTAACAATTTACTAAAATATTTTTACATCATTAGAACATAAAGGCGTAATATTCCTGTAATTGTTCAACTCAAAATTCCTGGGTAAGTGGACTGACCACTGTGGTCATTAGGATGATTTTGATAGTTTACTTAACTATTGGAATTTGACTATTAACACATGTAAAAGGATGAATCGGAATCAGCTGGTGAAAGTAACATTTGTTTATTAGAAAAGGGGAGCTGGGAGTGGAGGTTGGTTATGGCAGCAGTGGGAAACAGTTGTTCCAGGATGGAGAGGCCTGGCTGGTCTTGGGAGTGTGGAAGGCCTTGTATTCCTCCTGGGAGACACATAAAAATGAGTGTGGGACAAATGCAGGCAAAGTTGTCAAAGAATATGCTGGTAAAAAGCTAGAGCGGCACGCAACAAACCGTTCACGGCAACAATCCGGCAGGGAATGAGTGCAGGCTGCAGGCTTTCATAGTGTGGCTGATGAGCAGGTTGCAGGTGTGGTTGATTGGAGATTGCTCCCAGCCGTGTCCAGCAGACCAGCAGGCAGAGAGAGAGACACACAGTAGAAACAAACACATACAAACACTAACAGGGGTTTCAGGGACGGGCAGTGACAGTCGGTCCGTTCCTTTATATGTCTGTCGGTCTCAAATCTAAAGGGTGCAATAACGATTTTGATCCAATATGCATAAACAGCGGACACTGTTTATACGCAGCCCTCACAAACCACACACGGCCAGATAGCTTATCCAACAGTTAGAACCTACATACGAGACACAATCTTTATAGTCAGAAAAAAGTGTGATTATTTTCTGATATTTTACACATATGATATTATGAATACTGTGGGCCTACATACCTTAGTGTGATTATAAGTGCATGTGAGTGAATATTGGCATGCATAAATTCGTTTTTATACGTCCTATTCATTGTCTCAATGCGCTCATACATCTTAAGAAAGTTATCACCAAAAATGTTAAGAATTTTTTTAGAGAACGTTATCCTACCTTTCAGAAGAACATTCTGGGAACCAAAATAAAACGTCCCGCTGAAAACATTTTAATAACAGTAGGGCATAATGTTCTAACAATGTTATCAAAAACATCTTAAGAAGGTTATCAAAAACATCTTAAGAAGGTTATCAGAAACATCTTAAGAAGGTTATCACCAAACATTTCCAGAATGTTTTTAAAGAACGTTATCCTACCTTTCAGAAGAACATTCTGGGAACCAAACTAAACCGTCCTGCTGAAAACGTTTTAAGAACAGTAGGGCATAATGTTCTAACAATGTTATCAAAAACATCTTAAGAAGGTTATCAAAAACATCTTAAGAAGGTTATCACCAAACATTTCAAGAATGTTTATAAAGAACGTTATCCTACCTTTCAGAAGAACATTCTGGGAACCAAAATAAAACGTCCCGCTGAAAACATTCCTAGAACAACGAATGGTAACAAACATTTCTAGCTGGGAACTCACACATGCCAACGCAAACATGCAATATCTGCTAACAGCTTATCATGAATTACGTGCTTGTTTGTTTTTTTCAAAAGGAAAATATGGTGACATCAGATTTTTTTTAAAACATCCTTTTCAAACAAATGCAACAAGTTTGTTTTTTATAGCGCTCTAGAAATAAATCTGACGTTGACCATGACCGTGTCAATATTTGCCATAACAGGAACGTTTTATAAAAAAAGAATAACATCCTGAAAACATTTTCAGAATGTTTCTTGGAGAATGTTCTTCATTTGTTATCATGTAACATTGAGGGAACGTTTTATAAAGAACATATTTAATGTGTTACCCAACAACGTCCAAAACACATCCTTAGAATGTTGCAGGCAAAACGTTCCACCTTTGTTAACATATCACATTAAAGGAACGTTTTATAAAAAAACGTTCTGTCATCTCAGGCCTCAATAAGATCCTCGGAACATCCTCTGAATGTTGCAGTTAAAACGTTATGTCTTAGTTAACCTTAAACCTTATAGGAACATTATTTGAAAAAATAAACATCCTAAAAAGGTTCTTTGAACATCAGATTAAAACGTTTCTTTAAAACCTTATTAGAACCAATAGGTAACGTTAGCCAAAGTTGTGAGAACGTTCCCCGCTAGCTGGGAAGTAGATAGGGTTTATTAGCGGGCACTGCTGTTTTCCAAAGTATCTTTTTTATATACTTTTTTTTAAACATATAATGACTCTACACACATTACCTATTAGTCATTCTTTAACCTACTTTTTTTTTTCCTTTCCATGTGAAACGATTTCCTCCATCATTGTTTGCCTTATCTGTGAAGGTGATGCGTAGCTCTACTGCAAAAGTGGTGGTGGTATTTTCGACTGAGGGGGAGTTGACGCCTTTCTTGAGTGACTATATGACACAGAACATCACTGGAATCCAGTGGGTTGCCAGTGAAGCCTTGATCACAGCATCCGTATTTACAGCCAGTGAGTATTACCCCTACCTAGGGGGCACCATCGGGTTTGGCATCAGAAAAGGTAAAATCTCCGGACTCAGTGACTACCTGCAGACAGTCAACCCTCAAATGTATCTTAATAATACTCTAGTTAAGGAGCTGTGGGAGGCCCTGTATGGTTGTGACCCTTCTCTGTCGTCTGGATCCCTGTTGCCTTCCTGCTCAGGACAGGAGTCCCTGTTAGAGCAGCATTCAGCCTACATGAATACATCCAGCCCTAGAGTGGCCTATAACGTCTATAAGGCTGTGTATGCATTTGCTCATTCCCTGCACAACCTTCTTCTCTGTCAACCGGGCAGTGGCCCTTTCCAATACAACTCATGTGCTCAAAGCAACAACATATACCCCTGGCAGGTATATTTACATTTTCTTACAGTAATTTCACTTTAACTGTCTTTTTAAAAAAAAATTCACATTTCATATTATCTTTTGGTTTTCAAGCTCCAGCACTACCTCCAGGAAGTGACATTTAACATTGCCGGGGAGGAAGTGAACTTTGACCTAGATGGCGACTCTATATCTTATTATGACATTCTCAACTGGCAGAGAGGCATGGGCGGGAACATTGAATATGTCAACGTGGGGTTGTTTGATGGAACCAAGCCTGCCGGAGAGGAGCTGTTAATCCAGGAGGACAGGATCATGTGGGCAGGGCATCAGAGTGAGGCAAGCTGCTCACACTGTGTTTTTACCTTCATCCATCAGATGCCAGCTTTTGAAATCCTGTAAGTTTAGGTGGAGGTAAGTCAGGTGGCCAGGAAAAGCTGGATAAGATGTGAGTCCCTTTGCATTACAGTGAAAATAAGTTGAAAGCCCACGATACAGTGTGACGTGTTTTGTGATTAAATGCTCCACATTCTCAAGATAGTGGTATGAGGACCCAAACGCAGTAAAAAAAGGGAACCAAGAAGTATCAACAGAAACCGAGCTTTATTAAACAAAAGGAGATGACAGAAAAAAATAAGAAACTACTAAACATTAACAAACCGGGGAAAAAGACAGACATTAACAAACTTACAAGCATGGGCAGACAGGTTACCAGTACAAAAAGACAACGACCGAACAGGGAGCAAAGGGGGAGAGAAGACGAAACACACAGAAGGGTAATCACAAGACACAGCCGAGGCCTGTACTACGAAGCCGGTTCAACATAACCTGGATATGTTTGAGTTACCCGCCTTACCTAATCCAAAACAAACGGACTCTCGCTAAGCGGTCCTACGACGCTGGTTATCAACTCGTTAACTCAAGCCAGCTTTGCCCTATCTAGTTATGTGCGCGTTCACATAAAAGGGGCGGGGTTAGCAATATTTGACAAATCACAAACATGGAGAAGCGTACTGACAGCACAGCATCATACTTCCATCCATCCATCCATCTTCTCCCGCTTATCCGTGGTCAGGTCGCGGAGGTAGCAGTTCCAGCAGAGAGCCCCAAACTTTCCTTGCCCTGGCCACATCAACCAGCTCTGACTGGGGGATTCCAACCCAGCTAGACATTTTTGGTTCTAAAAACATTCTGAGAATGTTACCATTCACTGTTCTTGGAATGTTTTCAGCGGGAAGTTTTCTTTTGGTTCCCAGAATGTTCTTCTGGTAGGATAACGTTCTCTAAAAACATTCTTAAAATGTTTGGTGATAACTTTCTTAAGATGTGTTTGATAACCTTCTTAAGATGTTTTTGATAACATTGTTCGAACATTATGCCCTACTATTCTTAAAACGTTTTCAGCAGGACGTTATATTTTGGATCCCAGGATGTTCTTCTGAAAGGTAGGATAACTTTCTCTAAAAAGATTCTTAAAATGCTTGGTAATAACCTTTTTTAAATATTTTTGATAACATTTTTAGAACATTATGTCCTACTATTCTTAAAAAGTTTTCAGCTGGACGTTTTATGTTGGTTCCCAGAATGTTCTTCTGAAAGGTAGGATAACGTTCTCTAAAAACATTCTTAAAATGTTTGGTGATAACCTTCTTAAGATGTTTTTGATAACCTTCTTAAGATGTTTTTGATAACATTGTTAGAACATTATGCCCTACTGTTCTTAAAACTTTTTCAGCGGCACGTTTTATTTTGGTTCCCAGAATGTTCTTCTGAAAGGTAGGATAACTTTCTCTAAAAACATTGTTAAAATGCTTGGTAATAACCTTTTTTACATGTTGTTGATAACATTGTTAGAACATTATGCCCTACTATTCTTAGAACGTTTTCAGCTGCAAGTTAGATTTTTTATGTTGCCAGAATGTTATTATTTTAGAGTGGGATAACGTGCTTTATCGTTCCGATTTATCAGAAGTCTTTTTTTTTATTAATGCGACCAGCAGCTATATATAATGTTGCTTGGAGAATGTTCTTCATTTGTTATCATGTAACATTGAGGGAACGTTTTATAAATTACATCTTTAATGTGTTACCCCAACAACGTCCAAAACACATCCTTAGAATGTTGCAGGCAAAACGTTCCACCTTTGTAAACATATCACATTAAAGGAACGTTTTATAAAAAAACGTTCTGTCTTCTCAGGCCTCAAAAACATCCTGAAAACATTTTCAGAATGTTGCTTGGAGAATGTTCTTCATTTGTTATCATGTAACATTGAGGGAACGTTTTATAAAGAACATCTTTAATGTGTTAAATCATTTCAAAGGGACACAGACACATTAGATTAACCTATGGATTAACTTCAGCAGCGTTTTTATCGTTTTAATGCCATTGAAGACCACTTTGGAGAGACTACAGAGCCAAGGTAAAAATGTTAGCATTTTTAGCTACCTAGCGTCACCTGTTTTGATGTCCGTTTTGCTTATAACGTCGCAAATACGTATAATTCAGTGGTAATGTCGGTGTCAATAGATTCTGTGTCACCTCACGATGTGAATCGATGTGTTGGATGTGGTGAAAAAATAAATAATAAGGATTTGTGAGTGATTTTCGGTGCAGTAAGGTGTTAGCATTTTTCGCTCGTTGCTAATTCAGAAGCTCAGTGTTAGCATTGTGGGTTTTCTTTTGAAAAAAAAAAAAAATGATCAGTTAGATGAGTTTCTTCCCGTTACATGGATATAAAACATTCATAGTTTTATTAAATTAACATGCCCTCAGACACTGTTTCCTGCAAGATGTTGCGGCAGTGCCCCGGTACCGGGGTCTCTCGGGCTTAACAGGTTAACATATCACATTAAAGGAACGTTTTATAAAAAAACTTTCTGTCTTCTCAAAACATCCTCTGAATATTGCAGTTAAAACATTATGTCTTAGTTTACCTTAAACCTTATAGCAGGGGTGCCCAACCAGGGGAGATTCCCAGTCGATCGCAAGATGTGTTTAAAAATAGAACAACAATATTCTGTTTGATCGTTAATGTTCTATAACATAATCTTCCTGTGCCAGAATAATGCACTTGAATGCATCAAAGCTTTGTGATTGGCCGGCGTGACCCCATGTGTCGGGGCGTGGCTGGTGGGCAGTGGGCACTAGTTAGCTGACGTTGTCCGTGTCAACAGGAGTGACAGTCGGCACACACACAAGACCGCAATTATTGCAGAAGCAAAAAAGCCCAAAATATATAATTTTCACTCCGAGTGGGAGGATGATTATTTTTTTATCTATTCCAATTCAAAGTCCATCTGTCTCATCTGTAATGCGAGCGTGGCTTTACCGAAGAAGGGTAATTTAGGAGCGGCATTTCTAAACAGTGCACAAACGCTACGAGACGGGATTCCCTCCTAATTCTGCCATACGCTCCCAAAAGGTGAGGGACCTGAAAGGACAGCTAAATGCACAGCAGTCCATTTTCACCAGGCCCAACAACAAGAGCAAGGCTGCTACCATAGCATCACGTTTTGTGAAACACATGAAGTCTTTCAAAGACGGCGAAGTTGTGAAAGAAGCATTCCTGGAGGCTGCCGACGTGCTTTTTGGGGACAGTAAAAATAACAGTAGCATTTCAACAGGTTTTTGATATAATAAAAATTCAACTTAGATACCGTTATTAATCAGCTGTAAGTTTTAGTTTGTTTGAACTTATTCATTATAATTATTGTACAAAATGGTATAGGAATGCAAACATTAAGATCTGCTCTGTTTAAATTGATTATAGTCTATTATCAATTCAGGGTTAAGAAACTAGTGTTGCTTGCATCCTATTTTAAAGGCATTTCTTTTTATACTCTACTAAAATGCAACAAAAAAAGGGTTTGATTCTATTAATTTTGTATTTTTTATTGCACTTTGGCAGCAGATTCCTGTGTAGCTTCAGATCTGAGTTGTCTTATTAGTAAGCCTAATTTATACTTTTGTAGCAACACTATTTTTATATAATGGCAAAGAAAGGGTTCAGAGTCTTTTCTTTTTTTCCTGTGTCATATGTGGCAGCACTGTTCAATGTTTCTTGAAAACATGACCCACTGTAGTATGTGACGTGTGAATAAACTCCAACTCTGTATCAACAACACTGTTGTGTAACTTCAGTTAAATACTTGTATGTGTGTAGATTAGAAAGAGGTAAGATAAAGGATTTGCAGTATTTTATGAAGTATTAATCGTACAAAAGTCAGTTTTATACAAGTAGAAGTGTGTATTTACCTGATAGTAGGCTGTCAGTAATGGCTACGCCTCTCTATTTGGACTGGTAGATCTCGGCAGACTGGCAACTTTAAAAGTAGCTCTCGGTTCAAAAAAGGTTGGGCACCCCTGCCTTATAGGAACATTATTTGAAAGAATAAACATCCTATAAAGGTTCTTTGAACATTAGATTAAAACGTTTCTTTAAAACATTATTAGAACCTGTAGGTAATGTTAGCCAAAGTTGTGAGAACGTTCCCCGCTAGCTGGGAAGGCGCTCCCAGGCCAGCGAAGACATATAATCCCTCCACCTGGTTCTAGGTCTACCCCTCGGTCTCCTCCCAGCTGGACGTGCCTGGAACACCTCCCTAGGGAGGAGCCCAGGTGGCATCCTTACTAGGTGACCGAACCACCTCAACTGGCTCCTTTCGACGCGAAGGAGGAGCGGTTCAACTCCGAGTCCCTCCCGGATGACTGAACTTCTCACCTTGTCCCTAAGGGAGACGGCAGCAACCCTGCGGAGAAAACCCATCTCCGCCGCTTGTATCCGCGATCTCGTTCTTTCGGTCATGACCCATCCTTCATGACCATAGGTGAGGGTAGGAACGAAAATGGCCCGGAAGACAGAGAGCTTTGCCTTCTGGCTCAGCTCTTTTCGCCACAACGGTGCGGTAAAGCGACTGCAGTACCGCTCCCGCTGCTCCGATTCTTTGGCCCATCTCACGCTCCATTGTTCCCTCACTCGAGAACAAGACCCCGAGATACTTGAACTCCTTCACTTGGGGTAAGTAAGCGTCATACTTCCTGAATGAAAAGTGAACTATAATATTAGACACATATTAAGACGTTAAACTTTAAACATCCATGACTTAAACACTTTATCCAGGATAAAAGCAACATTTGCACATGCAAGGTGAATACAGCTGGTAAAAAAAAAGTGTTTGAATGCGTACATTAACAGGTTTATGATATCACTGCCCCGTCTAAGACACGAGTGGATCTGACTTTAATTACATTTGACTCCAGTGTTTCGTCAACTTAATGTGTTGCTTAAAATAATACTTCTGCATACAGTATGTGACACTGTGAGTGTTGCACAGCCAGATACGGCAAAAGAAGCTGACTCAGATAAGGAAATATATGATACATTATGATGTGATATGAATGATAATGGGACACATCGACGTCTGCACTCACAGTGCCGCGGACTGTACGTAATGTTACTTTGATCCAGGTACTTATGTTAACTTGTGGAAGATATTTAAGTAAGCTTTCTTAACGCAAATGTTGTATTAGTCAGATTGCTCTGAAGATGGGAGGTGATATTCTATTAATTTTCACGTTCACACAGTCAGTTGATTTTTGCCAGACGTCTTTCCTGCAACGGCAGTTTTTCTGTATTTCCTTTATCCTGTAATATTACTTGATAGCTTTAAACTCTGCACACTGAGCTCTGATTGGTCAGCAGGCGGTGCTTTCACTGAGTTGATCTCTTATCCTGGAACCTAACCTGCTCCGGACCAGGCTAGCCGTTCAGCATAAGTTACCATGGAGATCTAGCCCGCTAAGAAGTGAACCAGCGTCGTAGGCCCGGAAACCCAGAGTTTTCCCTAAAGTTAGCTCGCTAAGCGAAAATCGTAGTACTGGCCTCTGGGCAGGGGAGGCAGAAACACAAAGGAAACAGGTGAACACAATGAGACAATCAGACACAGGAGGGCAAACAGGAAGGAAGACCAGACAGAGGGAGTCAGAATTTAAAAAATAAAGCCATAACTAAACAGACAAAACTAAAATCATGACACACATTATATTCCTTCTGGTAGAATTCTTCTAAAATAAAAATAAATATTCATAATTTTAAAGCTACAAATTCTTGAATAGCTTATGGATAATACCCCCGTCCCCAGTGTGAAAATAACATCTGCACCTCCACTGTTTTCTGCCCTTATATAAAATGCCACAATATGAGAAATGCGTATCACAATTTTACTTTCTGCAGCAGCTAATTGCTTGTAAAGTGTAAGCAACAATACAAAATGCAAAGCTCTTCACTGATGTTCACTAGAAAAATAAGTATTTTTTCTGATTAACCTGTTCCACTCTGAGCCTGTTTTTCAGGTCTCAGGCTCGAAAATGACATTCCCAGAACAAATGACCATATCTTCCCTTCTAAAAGGGTTAAATTAATAATCTTTTCTCAAAGTAATGATAAACCTGTGAGTTGGATGTAGAAGTGTCAGAATCAATATAAATGTTTTTTATTTTAAAGAAAATTCAGATTTTACATAGTAAAAAACTGTAAATTATAGTGTCCGTCCAAAAATTATTTTTTACAGATAGTGAAAACTACCCTTGGATGATGGGTTAGTAGACTAAAAGCTTTAGGAATCCAAAGTACAACATATAATAAGTACCCTGTATCAAGATTGATGCAAAACAAGTGAAATTTGACCTTTTTAGAGAGATTTAGCCAAAAACTGGGCCATCTGGGGTCATTTGGGTGGATTTGACCTATCTCTGGCCCCCCTTGCTCGATCTGGTTGGTTGACATACCCTTGTGACCGTTAGAGCCAATAGAATCGAAGGAGGAGGCTCCCATAGACACACATTATAAAGAAAAAATGTTGCCGCTTCGCGTGTGGAAAGCGAAACTAAACTGGAGGAATGTCTCCTTCTGGAGTTTGGAAACTAAAACGCAGTTGTATTGCTTATGGATTATCAGAAATAATTTCAAAGAAGGCACAGACACATAGGATGAACCTATGGATTAACTGCAGCATCGTTTTTTTATCGTTTTAATGCCATTGAAGACCACTTTTGACCAAGGTGAGCCATATTTACATGTTTAGCTTCTTGGCTCCACATGTGATGATGTACGCTTTCGTTGATAGCGTCGCGAATGTTTATCACTGAGTGTTGAGGTGGGCACCGTTAGATTCAGTGTCTCCAGGACACCAAAAAATAGTGTTTGGTTGTGCATCTAGGATAAGTAATAAGGGAGTTCTGAGTGAGTTTATGTGCCTTTGTCGGTCCCGTTTTTTGGATCGAGGCTAATTCAGAGGCTGAGTGCTAGCATTGTGGGGTTTTTTTGAAAAAAAAAATTAAAAAGATCAGTTAGCTGAGTTTCTTCCCGTTACATGGATATAACACATTCATAGTTTTATTCAATATTAAGATTCCTTAGACGTTGTTTCCTGCAAATGACGCGTTTATCCGCCCGGTACCGGGGGGAAGGCGTGAAACAGGTTAAAATAGCTAGAACCCGCAAAAACTGACAATGCAGTTATCAAAGCTGTCCCTTTTTTGTTTTTAAAAGGCCTTATCAAGGAACTGACAAAATATGTTGGCACACTGCAGAACTGAAAGCCATTGTTTACTCCCTATAGGTGCCTATGTCTGTATGCAGCACCAGCTGTCTTCCAGGGTCCCGGAAAGCTGTCCGTCGTGGGGAGCCTGTCTGCTGCTTTGACTGTGTACCATGTGACAGCGGCAAAATTAGCAATCAGACAAGTGAGTTTAAAATCTTGAAATAAAAGAATCACAATGCAATTCTTGTATTTCACTACCAACATGTTATATTTGATTATTTTCCCTTTAGATTCCATAGAGTGCACATTTTGTCCTGATGACTTCTGGTCAAATATTGACAGAACCGTCTGCATCCTCAAGATAGTGGAGTTCTTGGCCTATGATTCCTTGGGTATAGCCCTGACAGTGATCTCTGTGGTGGGTGCCAGCCTCACTATAGCTGTCTTTGCGGTCTTTTTCTACCATAGAAACACAGCCATCGTCCGTGTAAATAACTCTGTACTCAGCTTCTTCATCCTCTTTGCTCTGACTCTGTGTTTCCTGTGTTCCCTGGTGTTCATTGGAGAGCCAACATATTGGTCCTGTATGCTGCGACACACTATTTTTAGTATAACGTTTTCATTTTGCATATCCTGTATTCTGGGGAAGACCCTGGTGGTGTTGGCTGCTTTCACTGCCACCAGACCAGGGGACAACATCATGAAGTGGCTGGGGCCCAAGCAGCAGAGGGCCATTATTTTCATTTGCACTGTAATTCAAGTGGTTATCTGTGCTGCCTGGCTCATTGAGTCTCCCCCTTTTCCATCCAGAAATACACAATACGAAATTTCGAAGATCATACTGGAGTGCAGCGTAGGTTCCAGTCTTGCATTCTGGTGCGTTCTGGGATACATTGGTCTACAGGCCTGCCTGTGCTTTATACTGGCTTTTCTAGCACGTAAACTGCCTGGCAATTTCAACGAGGCCAAGGTCATCACTTTTAGCATGCTGATATTTTGTGCTGTGTGGCTATCATTCGTCCCTGCTTATATCAGCTCTCCTGGGAAATATGCTGATGCAGTGGAGTCATTTGCCATTCTGGCTTCCAGCTTTGGCTTGTTGTTCTGCCTGTTTGCTCCAAAGTGTTTGATTATTTTACTAAAGCCAGAGAAAAATACAAGACAGCACCTAATGGGAAAATAAAAGTAGCTGATAAGTTGAAATGTATTTGAAATTCTAATCAATGTGCAACATTGTTATTATTATTATTATAATTGTTTTAATTATAATTATAATTATTATTTAATTATTATTTAATAATTTATTTCACAATTGTATTGACTGGATATTTGTATAATACTTATATATTGCAGCTGAGCAACCACAGTACAGTGTACAAAATAATCAAGTATACTTAGAAGGAGCATATTACTGTAATGTATAGAATAAATAAAGATATTTATTAAATAAGCAAAGAGCTTTAGTGGTGAATATTCATTGGAATTTTGTAGGCTGAATTTTTTGGGAAAATATTGTCTACTGATCTTGTACCTTGCTAAACCTCTGAGCTTTAGTTTTAGATTGATCCATGGTCAATGTGTAATGGTTTTGTACAAACCAGTCAAGAAAACCAATAATACTTAAGTATTATTATTAGTAAATACGTATTAAAATGCTCCCAAAAGACTAACATTTGCATAATATTGTGTGGTTTTTTTTCTGTTATTGATGATTCTGCAACAGTGTGTGTTTGTACTTTCTTCTTCTTGCTGGGAAGCACACGGATTGATACAAAAAAAAAGGAAATAATAAAGAATAAAATATGGAAAGTAATATTTAAATAATCCAGGCCTAGAGTCTTTAAAATCATCGTCCAACACATTAAGAAAGAGCCTAACCTCAAAGGAGCAGGATAAATCGGGAATCTGTGTTTTAAGAGGACAAGTAAAACAGTTGCAGTCTTTAAAAGGTGGCTCCTGATGCCGCTCCTAAAAGAATTGAATTGAGATTAAATAAACAGCCCAAGGACACTGCCAGATCCATGGTCAATGTTTAATGGTTTTGTAAAAACAAGTCAAGAAAACCAATAATACTTAAGTAAATATTGATTAAAATGTTCCTAAGAGTCTAACATTTGCATGATATTTTGTGTGTGTTTTTTCTGTGCGTAATCTGGGATTGCTTCATCTTTTTTAACCAAGCTGTTATTGATGATTCTTGTAGATCGTGATCGTTGTTCTCGCGTCCAGGAGGAAGTTAAAAAGAGACAATGTTGTCTCAAAGTTTCAAATGGGTAATTTAATTAAGTAACGTGGTTTTGAAACAAACAGAGCAAATCAGGAACACAGCGCCATGTTCGTGAGGGGAGGGAGAAGAGAGAGCGATTCTACGTGGAGCGAGCTAATATCCAATTCCTGGCTCCTCCTCTCATTGGCGGCTCTAACGAAAGGGGGACCTCCCTCCTCGAGTTCTTCTGTGTCTGATATCGCGTAAATCAGAGACGTTAGACGTTGTGTGTTCATTGTATAACTCCACACGCCTTTTCTCCTCATTCTCATTCATGACTTTTTTATTTAATGCATTTTAATGGCTGTAATCATTTTTAGCGTGAAACCTGAAGTTACGTCATCCCTTTAAGGGAGATGTTTTGGAATATTATGTTTAAATGGGTCTATACTCAGGGCTTTGATGTGCTTAAAGGTCTGATCGAGACATGTTTTACTGCACTTTTTATCAGCCATCTTTCAAATGGGCTCACTTTTTGTTATATGCTGATGTGTATTCCATACTCTAGTTAGATTATGTTAAACAAGCTGCAGAGCTACCAGTTATGTGTTAGGAGTACTACAGATAGTAGGACCTTTTCACCTCCGCACCGGAAACCACAAGGTTTTCTTGCCTGCCATCTCTATCGTTTGGGGATGGGGACCTGCACACGGGATTTGGGTGGTTGTTATATTGTTGTCTGTTGAGGGTATGTTTGTATATTTGCTTTTATTGTTTTTCTGTTTTCTTAGTTTTTTGTTTTTGTTTTTTTCTCCACTTTGCAATTGCCTGGGCCACTGCACTTTCCAGTTTGTATGGGATAGATGGCAGATAATGGTGTGACTCCAGATAGACCCAACTCCACAACATTCTTGTCCTGGAATGTAAAGGCTACAGCCCTGTCAAAAGGTCAAGAGTTTTTTTCTCACCTCAGAAAGTTAAATGCAGATGTCGTTTTTTTTACAGGAGACACACTTGCGCATCAAAGACCACCATAGGCTAAAAAAAAATCAACATTATAGTCAGGTCTTCCACTCAGATTTTGACTCCAAAGCCAGAGGTGTTGCAATCCTCATAAATAAGAGGATACATTTTTCCACCACTAACATTATTTCTGACAGAAATGGGAGATATTGAATTATTACTGGTATGATTTGGCAAACTCCTGTTGTATTGGTGAATGTATATGCTCCCAATTTTGATAATGCAGCATTCTCTAACAGCTTGCTGAGCAAAATTCCATGTCTAACACCCACCTTTTAATACTGGGAGGGGACTTAAACTGTGCTATTGACCCATCTTTAGACCGCTCTTCTCCCACCACGTTGTCTCCGTCCACTATGGCAAGGTCATTTTCTAACTTTATGTCTCTGAATTAGAGATGGGCGAGTCCTGATTCATCCGGATCATTAACCCGGATCCTAGAAATGAGCTGGTCGTGACGAGTCTCCCCTCTCCATTAACCCGAGTCCTTTGAGTCCCACACTTGGTGTGACGTACAAATTAAAACCATAAATTGCGTCACTCGCTACTCTCTTTATAACATGTAAAATCACATTACAATGTACCCCAGTCCATCTGCCTACCATTTAGCAAGTAGGATAGCTGCCAGAAGTGATCGTTTGGCTCAGGGGGGGGACGCGGATCAGTGAAACTTCCTGCAGACTCGTGGGGACTCAGAGGAGCCGACGGCTCCTAACTGTAATAGCATAGCAGATCCATACTCGTCATGTGCACGAGCATAGCCCCTCCTCCAGCACCCGGCTCCCGCGGCTATATTAAGCACGAGTCAACAGCAGACTCAGAGATTCGCAAATCCTGACTCACTGTGCAAAACATAGACTCGTGCGGACTCAGAGCCGTACCGTACAACAGCAGATCCAGAGATCCAGCAGACTCGTCATCATGCACAATTCAACAGCAGACTCAGATTCGCTAAATCGCAAAATGACCTTTTTTTTGTGATCAATATGTTTTATTAAAGCAAAAGACACCACTTTACACATTTAACACATACAAACACCAGTATTGCAATGATTACGCAGTCCGTGAGAAAATATGGGGGGCATATGATTAGATATAATTATATGTTTAATAATAATAATTGTATAATTAAGACATTTTATATATTCTAACTGTTTTGCAATTTTCTATCATTTGTCATTGTTTGTTTCTTTTTGTGTGCTATGTTCAAAATAAACGTTTTGCCAAGTAAGATCCTTATTGGAAATGCAGCTATTACACGCAGGAGACTGTTGCACAACATGACAATTTTGTTAGAAGTCTACACTGAAACTTAATTTAGAGCCGGAAACATAATGGACTTAATCAAAATCGCGGGATCCGTGAATCCAGGTCAATGATCGAGAGAGACCAGTAGCCTACGAGTTAGTCAGCGGAACTTCACAGACTCAGATTCGCAAATCCTTACTCACTGTGCAAAACACAGCAGACTCGTGCGGACTCAGAGCCGTAGCCATATAGCAGCAGATCCAGAGATCCAGCAGACTCGTCCTCATGCACGAGTCAACAGCAGACTCAGATTTGCCAAATCGCAAAATAACCCTTTTTTTTGTGATCAACATTTTTTATTAAAGCAAAATACACTGTGTAGCGGAGATTAATATAACGTCAGTTTAATATGCTCGTGAAATGCAACAACTTTTCGGTTTCACCGATAGGATTTCTACGGTCTTGGTGATGCTGACTCATATGACTCAAATGACTCGTATGATCCGGATCTCTTCAATGACTGACTCAGAAGACCCTGACTCCGTAAAAGGATCCGGATTTGCCATCTCTATTCTGAATGGCCTTGCCGATCCCTGGAGAAATAATAATCCTCAGTCTCGTGATTACTCCTTTTTCTCTCATGTACATCATTATTTTTCTCGCATTGACTATTTTTTCATTGGCCATAAATTGGTGCCCAAGGTTACCTCTTCAGAATATTTATCAATCATCATCTCTGACCATGGTCCTTTCATTCTGGACATATCTCTGTCTACTCAACCTCGTACACCTTCACGGTGGAGAACCAATTCACTTCTGCTCTCTGGTGCCATGTTTTGTAATACATCGATGACTTTTTTTTTCTTTCCAATAAGACAAGCTCCACCTTCCACTCTCTCTTATGGGAGTCGCTCAAGGCCTACCTCAGAGGGCAAATAATCTCTTATGCCTCACATTTTAACAGGACCCGTAAAGCTAGGCTGGACGAGCTTTCTAAGGCGATACTTGAGTTAGACCGCCAATATGCTTCGACCCCGTCCCCAGATCTTTATAAACAGCGCCTGAATTTCCATTCAAAATTCAATCTTCTATCTACTCAAGATGCATAGCATTTACTACTGCACTCAAGGGGAACATACTATGAACATGGCTTTAAGGCTAGTCGATTGCTCGCGCACCAATTAAAACGCAAAGCAGCCTCCCGATTAATTCCTCAAATTCTAGACGCCTCTAACAACTTGACCTCTGACCCAGCACAGATTAATGATGCCTTTAAAAGTTTTTACTCTAGCTTGTATAAGTCGGAGATGCCATCAGACACCACCAATATGACTACGTTTTTGGAAGAATTGACGATTTCCTCAGTTCCACCTGAGGTTGTGGATGACCTTGATTCCCCTCTCACTCTTGATGAGGTTATGCAATCTATCAGGTCAATGCAGAGCGGTAAGGCCGAATTCTTTAAAAAATGTGATGCTAAATTGGCCCCTCTGCTTTTAGCCATGTACAATGAATCGTTTGGTAATGGCTCACTTCCACCCAACTTGACGCAGGCTTCAATAGCTCTCCTCTTATAAAAGGATAAGGACGCGACTCTGTGTAGCTCTTATAGGCCGCTCAGTCTCCTTAATGTTGATGTCAAGATACTGGCTAAGGTCCTTGCATGACGGCTGGAGGTATTACTACCAGAAATAATTTCTGAGGAA